AAGCCTATGTGGAGCTCTGGCCAGCAGAGGGCAGCTGTGGCCCCTGGGTCCAGAAGGTGGCTCAGGCCCAGGCTGCAGCCTCATCAAGAAGAAACTGGGCCACATGGCTCCTCTGGGGTCCTATGCAAAGGTGACCTGAGGCAGCTCCTGGAGTCAATTGTGAATCCATGTGGGTAGATGTCACTCTCTCAGAGGCCTAAGGTCAAAAGTCATGGGCCATGAGGATATGGGTGCATCTGTCACTAGGTTTCACGATTTCTCCTCCACCAGCAGAAGCAGTGGGCCTACTGAGAATGGGAGAAAAGGGCTCAGGCTATGTCCTTAGAGCTGTATCTAACAGGGAGGTGAGGTGGTCCACGCCAGCAGAAGCACTGAGCCTACTGAGAATGGGAGAAAAGGGGTCAGGCTATGTCCTTAGAGCTGTATCTAACAGGGAGGTGAGGTGGTCCACCCTGGGCTGAGGACAGCCACAGTCATTGTTGTAGCATTAGTCTCCTGTCTCCTGTCAATGATAATGCAGAATTAACACAAGCAGATGGTGCACAGCTACTGTCTACTGGACGCCTCATATGCACTGGTCACTCACTGCCCTGAGGGCTTTCAGACCATTCTTTCCCAACAGCAGAAACAAGGCTAGGGTCCTCATCAGTTCACTTCCAGATAAGGAAACTGAGGCACACAGAAGCCTGGGACATCCTCAGAGGCCATAGAACAGGGTCAGGATCTTAACCTGCCTGTGTTGAGTTCTTCCTAGCTGCAAGGTCTGAGGGACTATTTCTAGAATGAGCAGGTTTGTTAGCATGGGAAAGTGTTGGCAGGGGTTTGGGCCCTTGGAGAGGCAAAACTAGACCTTTGGGTAATTGGCCAGGGAGAGGTTTGGATGTTTGTGTAGAAAGAGGAGTCAGAGGCCAGTGTAGGAATGAAGGACACTGGGGGCCTCACATGAGCCCCTGTCAATCAATGTGAGAATAGGAAATGCCTCTCCCTCCTGAGATGGGGATGTGGTGGATGAGGGCTCATCTGAGGCTGGTACATACCCCTGTGGGAGCTTTTCCCTTGGCCCCTCCCACAGATCTTGTATGTTTGTGATCATTCTCTTTTCTTGCCTGCATAGGGGGCAGATGGCATCCGAGGTCTGAAGGGCACCAAGGGCGAGAAGGTAAGGATCTGTCCCCTTGAGGTTGGGCTGGCTCAGTGTGAGGCAGGACCCAGTGGGGTTGCCTCTGAATGTAGAGGGAAAGAAGCTTGCTTGTTTGTAAAAGTAGAAAGAAGCTGCTGAAGACCAGGGTACTGTCAGCATCTCCTGGGCTTGCTCAGAACATACCCAGGAGGCACTGGGATGGCCATATGACTGTATTCACGTACCTGCCTCCTCCAACAGTCCTCATGTGACCAGTTGTCAGGGTTATTACTCGAGGAACCCAGCATTCCTGCCCAGAGTCCATCCAGGCCAGGTTTACAGCCCAGTCTCAGGCTCAGAGCTGGGGCATGTGAAGGCATGTCCAGTTCTGGGACTGTTCACACTCACATATAAGCCACATTTCAGAATGTGGTGCTGACTGCCATGGACAAGGCTGCATATCAGGCCTGTATGGATCATTATTAGTTACTACAAAGCTACATAAGGCACTCTGAGTGCCATAGGGTCAGGGTGCCCAGAACTTCTGGTGGATGAGACATGCTGAGCCTCATGGAACTGTGCCATCAGCCACTTCTGTCCTTTCCATGTGGTGGTAGGAGGCCTGGCACTGGCATGTGATGTGCCCATCTTGAGCTCCATCCTATTGGGCAGCCCTGTTGTCATTCCACTGTAGACAGTAGGTGTGGCTGCCCTTTGTGGCAGGCTGTGGAGCTCCCTGGGACACTGAGGTCTGAAGGCTGTGAGAGCAGGGCCTGCCAAGCCTGAGCCCAAGCACCTGGCACCTGCATATATGTGGGCTTGCACGTGTGCTTGCCACTGCTTCTCACTGGACACCCGTGGACATTTTTGCCTCCTTTCTTGTGTGTGATCTGCTAGCCTGAAATATATTCTCTAGGGACTGTTTCAAGGGCTATGGGTGGCAACAGCACAATAGCTGTGTGGTCTACCTTGTGTCTGGGTGTTTACTAACCACTTGCCACCATTTGGGAACACAGGCAAAGAGGCCTTTCATTTCATTCTCTACTCCTTCTAGAGCAGGAGTAGAACCCTAGGTCTCCTTCTGCAGGGTCAGGGGAATGGGTGTGTCTTCTGAACAACTCAGCCAAGATCACCATTATGTGGATCTCATAGGGGTTTGGGGAAAAGCAAGTCCTCATAGGACAGTGCCCACCCCAACAAAGAGTTTCTGAGCCCTGTGTTTGAGAGTTCCTATTCTGTTGGGAGGCTCTGTTACTGGAGGGCCTTCTACCTTTTTGAAGAGGGTTTCTAGAGTCCCAGCTTTACCACTTTATCTTGTCTTTACAAGACAGAGCTGCTTGAGAGGATGTGACTGGGTTCCGTAGGGATGCTGCCATACCAGAAAAGTTCCTGTGCTGCCCCAAGGAGCCCAGGAAAGCAAACTGGGATGGTTCTAGGGAGAAGGAATGTCTGAGAACATATGGCCCTGGTATACCATGCATACTGTGGTAGTGGCCTAGGGGCTGGGTGAGAGGCCAGGTGCCCACATGCCTCCTTCCCCATACAGCTCTCCTGCTTCTGCCCGGGGCTGGGGACTCTGCGTTGTGCAGTGGAAAGTGGTGCTGTGGAGCAGAGTCCTTTTCTATAGACTGATGCATTTTCTTGTCTATGCTCAGGGTGAAGACGGCTTCCCTGGGTTTAAAGGCGACATGGGAATAAAGGGTGACCGGGTAAGTGTTGTGAGTCTAGCATTTGGGTCAGGGACAAGCAGAGGAGGCCTGGGGACTTGCGTGAAAGCTAAGGGTATTTGTAACCATAGAGCATCTTATCAGAAAGGATGCAACACTTCTGCAAGATGTTGCTCCTAGGACAGAGTGTCTGAAGGCCAGGGGCCTCTACAGTGTTCTCTAGACTGCTCCTCGGTTCCCACTCCAAAGCCAGAGCAGCTCTCACCTGTGTTAGCCCCAAGGACAACTATGGTCACTCTACCTTGGGTGCTAGATAGACAGCTTAGTAAGGATAGGGGCCTCTAGATTACAGGGAAATTTGATTCCAGAGGGTGATGAGCAACCCTGGGAAGAGAAAATGGGAGGGAGAATGGAAACCATCCAGATAGGCACATAAGCAAGCCACTGCCGAAGATGTAGCAGATGGCTGGCAGGACCATATGCTATTGAGGGTCTGCAATCTCTGCTGAGCTCCTGGACCATTCTGGTCCACAGGATGCGTCCAAGTCACTCTTGAGGCTGTGCAACCCCAGTGCCCTGCCATCTGGTGCTGGGCAGTGGTTAAAGCCCCATAGCCTGACCATTCTCTGATGGGTTGCTCACCCCAGCTCCAGAGAAAGCTGTTGGTGCAAAAGAGGGCATGGCTTGCTCAGGTGGGAGGGTTCCTAGCATAGCAAGCACAAGGAACCAGAGTTTAACGGTGGCACTGAGGACAGTTTCTAGGTCGTGACCGGTAGAGCCACCTGCTAGCTCCTGCTGAGACGTTCCCTCACAACTTCAGAATGAGTCAGAGCCTGGCAGAAGGTGACACAACTGTTGTACACACCTGAGTCTTGTCTATTGGCTAACTCAGGCCGTAATTGTCCCCAAAGCAGGCCCCAAAGGTGCCTTTGCCAAACATTCCAGAATAAGAGTGCCTATACACTTTGCCACAACCTGACAGAGAATGGCAGAAGCCACCTTCATGTCTGTCAGAGGAGGAAAATAAAAAAGGGACTTTGTGTTCCATTATGCTGCTTTTAAAGATGGCTCCAGGCCTCCTCCAGGTGATGGATTCTTAGTGCTTTGGCTGAGGGGCTACTCTAGGTCAACAGAAGACATTCCTTTGACTCTTCCTCTCTGATGTCTTAGCACACACAATTCGAGTCCACTTGACTGAGGCACGGGTGTGGTGGGGTGTGCCTATAATCTCAAGAGACAGGAGGATAGGTGGGAGTTTTCAGCCAGTTTGGGGTTTATAGAGAGCCCCTGGAGATGAGATGGAGGAAGGAGATAGATAGATAGATAGATAGATAGATAGATAGATAGATAGATAGATAGATAGAGAGTCACACAAAAGGTACTTCCTTGGAGTACAGTTCAGTTTTCAATAGATGAGGGTGAGATGGGGGAGCAAGTGCTATGGCTTTGCTTCCTCTACAAATAGAGCCTTGCGCTGGGCTTTCTGTAGATACTCAGATGGGAATACCTAGAGGGTTAGTAGGTTTAATGAGCATTCTGCGGTTGTTGGTCTCTGAGCAGTTTGTATTTTGATGTGTGTGGGAGGTGTCATTTGGGGGTGGAGACTGGGAAGGGTCTCACTCACCTCCTCTTTTCTGATTGCAGGGGGAGATCGGCCCACCTGGTCCCCGAGGAGAAGATGGTCCTGAAGGTCCAAAGGGTCGTGGTGGTCCCAATGGTGACCCTGGTCCTCTGGGACCCACTGGGGAGAAGGTTTGTGTTTACAATGCTTAACCATGCCTAGTGGGCACTGAGTACCAGATTGCCCCCCCCATGCTCTGCATGGGTAGAGAGACTCCTGAATAGCCCATGCTACCACCCCAGCCTTTTGCCACCTCTCCCAGTGTGTGTGTGTGTGTGTGTGTGTGTGTGTGTGTGTGTGTGTGTGTGTACACGCACATGCTTTTGTAGAGGTTATCACCTATCTAAGCACACGTGTAAAGCAGAGGATGATGTTGGGATGTCTTTTCTCAATCTCTTCTTCCCTTTTTCCTGTTCCAAGTTCCCCTTCTGAGGCCCACACCACACCTCAGAGGAGTGTTTTCCTTTAGGTATAGGCAAAGCTTGGAGACCTCACCAGCCATACTTGAGCACCATCTCTATCAAATACTATCTCCACTTTGGGGGTGATGGAATGGTCTCACTACAGTCTGACAGCATGGCATGTGCATGAGACGTCTGTCTCTAGCAGGCCCTGTACCAGCAGTACCCTCCTACACATTGTCGACAGTAACCTGGGGAGGAGGGGTCACAAGGACTGAAACCTCCCACTCCATCTGGCCATGGGCTAAAACTCTTACAGAGTGTTCAGAATCCCCCCTGACCTCAGATAAAAACATTGGTCTTCCTGGCCATGCTATCCATCCCTTTGTTTGGTGACTGTTTTTCCAGGCATGCTGGTAGAATAGGGTTTAGAGACACACTGGATCTCAGTGGGGAGATCAGGTTGCCTCTGTACTCCAACCCTACTCTTCCAACCTGCCATAGCCCCTCTCAAAATATAAGGTTGAGAAGTCATGTTTATGATTTATGAGTCTTTTTTTTTCTGTTTCTAGGGGAAGCTCGGAGTGCCAGGATTACCAGGGTACCCTGGAAGACAAGGGCCAAAGGTAATTTAAGCCTGCTAAGTATGTCCTTAGCATGTGAGTATCCTTAGTATGAGCAGGTACTGTTTCATGTGGCACCCCACACACTCCAAACCCCCTCATCCATTCTGCACCTCTCTGTGGCTTCTGTGCCACAGTGGAACAATATGTTCACTGCTAACGCATAGTCCCCAGGCAGCCTTTGGTGTTAATTTGACCAAGCTCAAAGAAAGCACTTGGACAATGAGTTGAGCCTTTCAGACAAGGGGGCAGAAACTATCCCAGCCATCAGGCCAGTTCTGGGGCCTGGTAGCCTGCTGGGGGTGCTTGCCCCCCTGGCTTATCCACACCAGCCTCCTCTTAGCCCCTCTTTACATTGGAAGTTTGGAATGGCTTATAACTGAGCAGGAGAGGGACAACTGTGGTCTTATCTTCAGTCATGTTCAGGCTTAAGTAGAACAGGTCCTAAAGGCTTTGGAAATCAGTGTAAACATTATTTTCTTCTCATCCCACATTTTATTATTCATGGTTCCTCCTTAAACAATAACCACTGCCTGCACTGGAGACCTGGCTAGCAGCACTCAGCCAGCCTGCCCCAGACTTGCATCCCTGTCCTTCTGCTGCCTGCTAGCTTCACTGTCTTTGACCCACAAGAGCCAGGGCCTGCCAACCGAAGGGAGAGCAGTGACCTGTCCACTATCTGCTCTGTGTGGACACACATCCAGCCTGCAGGAGTATGTCCCTTAGATGTGACTCCAATGTAGCTGCCACTGGGAGCCATCCACCCAAGTTTGGGAAATGGGATCCCAGGGCCAGTTCCTTTTCCTCTTTTCAGGTACTTATCTCAGAAGGAGAGGGAAGGAGTGGAGAACATTTGAGAGAGGGGAGGGTGGGATATGACTCAGTGCTGGCAGCTTTGGGGTATGAGAAAGCGGGATCTGATACTCTGCCCTTGGGCTGTGACTAGATGCAACAAAGTGCTGCACAGTGGCCTGGGAGTTTTGTATCACCCACCCCAGATCCCCCTGTTTCAGTCTCCTGCCTGGGTGGCCAGGTGGACATAGAGAAGGACTGCAAGGTGTGGAAACAAGCAGACTTCCTGGAATAGGAATGTGCTCAAGTCAGGATGTTAAGTCACCCAGAGGGCAGAAACTCACAAAGAGCTGTAGACAACACCTGCATTAGTGCCCAGTGGTTTGCTCTGGGTATGTCCTGGGAGCCCCTGTGGCATCTTTTTGTACATAGAAGGAGTTTGAGTGTATGGCAGATCAAAGTCTTGAGAACCATATTTGACCCGTGTGTACATCTGTAGAGGTGAAAAATGTTAGATACTATGCCTGGATTTGAATCCATTTCTGACCTGGTGAACCGTCATGCTTTAGTTGAGGCACTGTGGACAGGTAACAAAGTATGACAGCAGGACCAGTGAATAGAGCTGTGAGATGCAACCCCCATTTCCAGGGAACCTCAACTGCCATGTTCTCCCATCCCCTAAAACATTGCTGGCAAGGCACAACCTCTATGTGGGAGCTGAGGGAAATGGGATGGAACATGCTAAGACTTAACTGTGGGTTTTAGATTTGGGGTCTAGTTAACATTCAGGAAATATTGAATGGTAGATGGGTGTTGAATGGGTGTTAGGTGGGTGGCTAGACAAAAAGATGATAGGAGAATAAAAGGATAGGTGATTTCGTATTCCGCCGTGGATGAGTAGGGTGGCTAGCTAGGTAGGTATTCCGTGGGTGGATGAGTTGGGTGGGTGGAGGGAATGTGGGTATTACATGGATGTTTGGGTACAAAGCAGATTTGGTCAGTGAGTAAGGAAGGGGTGTGAACAGTAACAAAAACTTGCCCTAGTGGGCATGACAGCGTGGCCCTTGCTCCTGGCTTGGCAGTCTTGTTTCATCTTCCTTTAAATGTCTTGCAGGGCTCTATTGGATTCCCTGGCTTCCCAGGTGCCAACGGAGAGAAGGGCGGCAGGGTAAGAACTGCAGTTGCTCAGCTGCCTTGGTGTGCAGGTGTTGGCCCTCTGGTCAATGCTGTGTTGATTTTCTCCATTTTTTATCAAAACTACTTTTTTAGAAGTAGCTGATTTTGGGCTCTAGGCCTTTCTTTAACTTTCAGTTATGGAGGCACCATGATAGGAAGGGGCAATGGTAAGAAGGAAGAGCATGCTGGGAAAATGGAGGTTTCTGATGGACAGGAGCCAGGAAGCCCTTGGCGCTCCTCCAGGTTCTCCTCTTTGTGAGAGAGTTTTCTGCATACTAACTTTACAGGGAGAAAGAAAAGTGTTATTTTGTTGGTTTTGGTGTGATCTACCACCTCTTGTTAAGCTGGGTCCATACCACCTTGGGGCTATGTGTTATGACTCTCAGACCTAGAGTCCCTGTTGGAAGTTACTCTGATTGTAAATACAGGGCAGGACATGACACCGTTAGGTTCCTACTGTTGTCATCATCACAGAGGTATATTGAGAGCCAACCCGAGGGAACCATACTCCCCCCACACCTTCGGTGATGTCCTTGTTGGCTCAGGCCTTCCATGTAGGAGCGGACGTCACTGGGTGGTGTCACAGAGCCTGAGCACTGCCATTTGGGAGATAGAGCGTGATGGTTGTTTTGGGCTTTGGACATATGGGACACAAAGAGGCCATTGGTGGTTGGGGACACAGAACAGAGTGCCCCTGGATGGCTGCCCTCCACATACTCAGAGCTGAGGCTGGGGCTCTTCCTCACAGGACACTGCTTCATCAGAATGTCATGTGTAAAACAGAGTTGATGTGCTCCTAAAACCCAGGAGAATGACTTCAGGAAATGAGACCATGTGAACAGGCCAGTCAGTGGTCACCAGCCGCACAATGTAGAAAGCAGGAATGTCCTGGGAGCCAGCGCACAGGATGGAGGCCATCTATTGTCACCATCGATTCTCTCTCACAAGTCGCTTTATCATCTTTCTATTTTTCTACATATCTTCCATTTCCTCTTCATCCATCCATCCATCCATCCATCCATCCATGTATCCATCCATCCATTCATGCATCCATCCATCTATCCATGCATCTATTAGTCAATCATCTATCTATCCATCTATCTATTTATCATCTATCCCTCTCTTCTCAGTCAGAATCTCTGTCTAGAGTCATCTGACCAGTATTTGTGGGAAGGGTTGGCCCCGGGAGTATTTGGAAATACTCCCTATGAGGCCCAGGGTCTCACAGGTGTGAAAGATGCTTCGGTATAAGGATGGAAAGCCCATGGTTTGTTGCTTTGCCTAAGTGGGAGTTCAACCAAAAATTGGGTGTCCTTGGACCACTAGGTGTGGTTGGCTTTCCCAACTGTCCATGGAGGCTGGAGGCTGGGCTGGACTTGCAAACAGCCTCTGGTGCAAAATCATATCCTGAATTAATGCCAACAGCAAGGTTCAGGTTGTTATCCTTCTGCTCCCTTGTGCTGTAGACCCCTTAGTCACATGGGCTTCACAAAAGGCAGTTCATCCGCTTGCACTGCACGTTTCCTAAGTCCTTGCTAAGCTCAGAGCTTACCAGGCAAGGGATGCTCCGGTGACTGAGCAAGATAAGGAGCAGCCAGTAACCAGTGCTCAAGGGTAATGAGCATGCAAGGAAGGATAAACGGAGCCCCCAGACCTGGGTACTACCAGAAGACAGAGATGTTCCTGCTAAGACCAGAAAGGGGTGGGGGGGGGAGGGCAGAATCACTTAGGGGAGCTGGTGTAGCTGAGCCCAGGGCAGAGGTCTAGGCTGGCGGACGCTGTGGAGGCCTTACTCTGCAGCACTTTGGGGTGGGTCTTTATTCCAAGGCAGCCAGAGTTTAGTCATGAGGGTAACCCCGGGAGACATTTAAAGGTAGTCCTGGTCCCATGTGGGAGAGGATTAGGAAGGGCTCGAGGGCTGTGAAGGGGGCAGGTCTGTGCTATACCCTGGAGACCTACCTACTCTACTTGCAGATGGTCTGGTCAGCAGGCTGTCTCTAGGGTAGGATGCCAGACTCAGTTTACAGCATGTGTATGTTTGCCACTCCCCCGGGTGCTACCCATATACCCCAGTCCTCGCTTACCAGAGACCTGGCTTCTGCAGAGCTAGTAGCTCATGTCTGCCTGACAGTGGGAGGTTAAATGGGAAGCCAACAGAAGCTATGCTGTCAATCAGCCAGCTGCAGCCCAAGTCAGAGCCACCATACAAGCAAAGCAGTGTCTTAGGATGAGACTGTACCCCACCCCTTGGAGGGGTCCCAAGAGAAGAAGGCCCCACTGAGGTCTGCCAGCAAATTCAAGGCCCTTTATACTTCAGCTTGACCTTGTGCTCCAGAAGAGTTGTAGGCAGGACCATTTCAGGGACCTCCTATTCTTTCCTGGCAGGGTCTAGAGGCCAGGTGCACCCAAACAATTAATGTTTGAGGGAGTCCTGGAGGTGTGATCTGCTCAACACCACTAGTCACCAGGCCAAGCTCTCATGGCTTAGATTACCACATACCCTGCTGAGAGCTCCATGCTACCCCAGGGCCCACATGGAAGCTGGGCTGAGACCTGTTTGCCTCCTGCCAAGGCTGGAGTGCCTAGATGCCCCAGGTACCATCAGGGCAGGCTGCACCTGGAGCCAGGTATGCTGCAAGGTCAGATGGGATCAGAGTGTGATTCCAGGTCGTGCTAAAGGTGAGCGAGGGACAGCGACATTGGCAGCCCAGCCTGGATTACATACCCGGATGAGTCAGGGCTGGTTACACTGTCAGTAAGGGCACACACATCAGAAGACAGCAGATGTCTTACTTAATTTTCATATGCAAATATTTACCTGCAGCCAAAGGATGTTGTCACAGAGCTGAAGTATTGTAACGGGGTTATGTATGTTGTTAAGGAAAAAAAAAACACAATTCATATGCTGTGATTTGTTTCATTAAATGCCTTTCAAAATGGGAGGCTATTTTGCTTCTGATAGTGAGCAAGTGGAAAATGCTAAGGAGAGACTCACTCTATGGCTTCAGCTTGGTAGAGACCAGGATAAACCCGGGGTGAACCTCAGAGCACTCAAGCCTCTGCCTTCAATCCATTCTCTCTGTGTGCTGTGGGTAAACGGCACTTGCGGGCCATTATATCCTCGCTATGGCAGAAAACAGAAAACAAATGCCATGCGTTTGCTTTCCGGGGTTCGGAAAATGCAGATCAGCAACAGCAAAAGGACTGAACTCCGAGAGAAGCCAGGGACTCTTGAATATATGATTTATATGTTAAATTGCAGCTTCCCTTTGCGCCTGCAGAGCCTGATGAAAATTTAATGCCTAATATTCGTAACAGTAGTGGAAGAAAATTATGTGTGATAGGAGTTGACTTTCTTCTCCCTTCATGTAATGATTTCTGTGCCTACTAAGAGGAGAGGAGAGAAGGGGAGGGGAGCGGAGGGGAGGGATGGGGTGGGGGGAGGAGTGAGGGAGCAAATGAGCCAGCTAAGTGACAGATACTACCCATCAATATTTCTGCCCTTCACCTCTCCCATTCACCCCAGACAGGCCCTTCCTGACCTCATTCTGGATTCCTGAAGTCTCTTGTTAACTCAGGAGGGCAGAGCAGGGCCATATGTACCCAGTGTGACTGACATCCTATTCTCTGCTTCTAGGGGACACCTGGAAAGCCAGGACCGAGGGGACAGAGAGGCCCAACGGTAAGCCTCCTTGTAGCCTAGGGCTGCTCTGTGCAAACTGAGATTGTGGGGTGTGAGTGGGTGGGCTCTGTGAGTCCGGGGCCTCTGAGTTAACTGGCTTTCCTTCTCTCTGTCCATCTGTTCAGGGTCCGAGGGGTGAGAGAGGCCCACGGGGCATCACAGGGAAGCCTGGTCCTAAGGTATGTTCATGATCCGTTGGGGCATAAGAACTGCATCTTCAGATTGTAGAGATCCTCAGTGGGTGGTCTGTGGCCTTTTTGTGTAACAACAACAAAAAGAACAATTTTCTTGAATATCATGAAAGGGGGCTCTGCCTTCCTGCAGCCTTCAGCAAGGTTTGTGAATTGAACCACATGACTAAGGGTAACCCCAAGGAAACTCAAGACAGACAGAGGTAGAACTGCCCCCAGGAAGCCAGCCTAGCACAGCCCTACCCGGGTCTAGTGGGGAAGCCTTGTTTCTTTTCTGGTAAGGGTGGCTGGGAACTGTAGAGATCCTTGCTAGAAGGTTCTTTCTGGTGCAGGCAGAAGCTAAGCCCACCACTGCCAGAATTCCTGATGCTGAGTGTGGTGAAGCCAGCTCCCTGTGCTGTATATCTGGGGAAATGCCAAGCATGGCATGCTGCCCAATTCTAACCAGTAAAAATCCAGGATAGGGTGCTGAAGAGACAGGCACCGCCGTGTTTGAGAGTAGTTGTTGCTCTTCCAGAGGACCGAGGTTTGTTTCCCAGCACCCATATGGTGGCATAAAACCATCTGTAACTCTAGTTCTGGGGCATCTGATGCTGTCTTTGCAGGTGCCAGGCATGCAACTGATGCACAGACATGCATGTAGGCAAAACAACATTGATGCACATAAAATATTTAAAAAACAATCCCGGGAGGGTCTTGCTGAGAGGAGGTTCCAGTTAGCTGGGAGTCAGAAGTGACCCATCCCTGACCTATCCCCTCCTTGGAGTTCTGTGCTAAGCTACGGCTACATTACACACGCACGCAAGCATGCATGCATGCGCGCAGGCGCACTCGCACACACACGCATGCACACACACACGTGCATAGTGGACTCAGCTCTTCCTGAGAACCAGCTGGGTACATGGAATAGTCCTGAAGCTTGTGTTCTTTCTATTCAGTCATTTTGATGTGTTCTTGGTTGAGTGAAGTCTGTCCCACTAGTCACAGGGACCTGTTCTGGAAATATCACCATCCTGTACATGCTAGCTCCCTATTAGCTGCACTTAGAGGCAGGTTAGCATGGAGTTGAGGCTCAATGCTGCTACACTGCTCTGCCCTGGGGTCAGGATGACCTTGAGCAGCCTTGGCCCCAGACATGAGAGTGGCCCTGAAAGATCCCTTGGCCACAGCTGTCATGATGAGCTTTTCTGTTCTCTCACAGGGCAACTCTGGAGGCGATGGCCCAGCTGGCCCTCCTGGTGAGCGGGTAAGAGTCTTCCAGGTCTGGGCTATGAGGAAATTTCCAGGGAGGAAGCTGGCCCCAAACACATTCCAGGCACTTACCCCTGGGTGAGCCAGTACAGGAGGTCAACAGTGCCCTGCAGAGGAGCAGGGCTTGCTGAGGCCCAAGGGTAGCTCATAGCCGGAAGTTATGTGTTCCTTGGGGAGAGACCTCATCCCTCCCTTTGAACCTGGTCTTGGGATGCTGGAGGTGACTAAGAACACAAAAATTTTGTCATAGGGCAAAGAGGACTCTGGGGTATTGCCATGTAACTTGACCACCAGTGTTCTTAGCTTGGGCTTTTTATCTGTCTGTCTGTCTGTCTGTCTGTCTGTCTGTCTGTGTGTCTATCTATCTATCTACATTACCTATCCATCTTATTGATTATCATCTACTTATCTTACCTATGTATCTTCTATCATCTGTCTATTATCAACCTACTTACCTATTTTCTATTACCCATCTATTAATCATCTATCTATTACCCATCTATCTATCTAGCATCTATCTTATCTATCTGTCTTCTATTACCCGTCTATCTAGCATCTAGCCCTCTCTTCTCAGCTCCTCTGGAGTCAAATGGGGAAAATGGGATCAGGTTAAACGGAGGTTTTAGGTGCAGCCAGTGCCACAGTGAGGAAAGAATGGGGGCTGCTAACAGGAAGAATGTCTGTCCTCAAACTGGTCATTCTCTGTTCCCAGGGACCCAATGGACCCCAAGGACCCACAGGCTTCCCTGGACCCAAGGGTCCCCCGGTAAGTACTGCTTTCTCCCGTGGAGGTGGCAGGTCAAGCTTCTCTGACACTGTTCTCCTCATCTCCCTAGGGCATGGGGGAGAGGGGAGAAGGAACACTGGACCCCTGCTGGGTGGGCAGTAGAGACAACCTCCCAAGTCTGGCTGCTAAGGCAGCCTGTGGCTGTGCCCCACCCTTACAGGCTTCCTGTTCTGGAAGCATTTAGTTCTGAACAGAATTTCCTTTTCATGAACCTTGCCTGCTGAGACCCTTCCCCTCTGCAGACCTCCCATGTCAGGTCCGGCTGTCGTTGAGACCATCATGACTTTCTGGCTGGGCTTGCTTTAGTGTCTTGGGTGACCACACAAATGCAACAAACAAGGTTTCTTAAAACAACTGAAAGGTCTTTTGTCAATTCTGGGGCCATGTCTGAAACCAAAGCTGGTTCCTTCCCAGGATCCAGGCAGGGCCCACAGCAGAGGTCCAAGGGAAGGCCCACTCAGGGCCCACCTACTGCAGGGGAGGGCTCACAGGAGAAGAAGGTACATGGTAGGAGACATCCTACAACAAATAAGAATTCATACTACACCAGAGCTCAAGTCAGGAGAAGGGCCAGGGAAGGTGAAGATCCATACCAGGAGAAGTCCACGCCAGGGAAATTCCATGTCAAAGGAGGAACCATAACCAGGGTCCACTGTAGGGGAAGGCCCATACATGGAAGGGAAGGGTCTGTGGCATGGAGGCCCACAGCAAGGGAAGGACCTTGGCAGGGGATATTCATGGCAGGAAAAGTCTGACCAGTCTTCTTTTTGGGTTCTGGAGTTACTGTCCCTCCTCGATGCTTGTCAAGCTAGACAGATGAGGGTCCCAATGGGACCAGGCCAGCTACCTTCTGAACTTGGCAAGTTGGCTGACCTCCCTTGCCTCTGTTAACCCCTTGGGACAGTTGTAAGGATTATGGGACAGGTTCTTCCATGGCATCTAGTTCCATGATTACTGTACATGTGGCTGCTGGCCCTTTCTCAAGAGCCATTAAAATGACAGTAATTTTTGTCACCTGCTTCTCTAAGCTGCTGAATGATTCTTTCCTGCTGTGACTTTTTCCTCAGGGCCCACCAGGCAAGGATGGACTCCCTGGACATCCTGGACAGAGAGGCGAGACCGTGAGTATTCCAAGTGCTGGGGTATGACTGTCCCTGGCCTCTCTGGCTGGGTATTCCACAGCCCTATATGTAACATGCTGCTGGCTGCCTGGCACAGTCAGGGGTCCCTCCCAGGCGGGAAAGACTCAAAGGCTTTGGCAAGGCTTCCTGTGGGGCAGCCATCTGCTGTTGGCTTGAGGTCAGGCTGTGCAGTGGGCAGGAGCCCCAGGATGTCACAGTGGAACCTAGATAATGGCTCTTTGCTTGTTTTAAGGCCATATTTAAAGCCTTCAGGACATCGTACTGTTGGCATCACAAGACCTGTATCTCCAGTCCTTATTTCCCCAGGGTAACTGTGAGTGCAGCCTTGCTGGGAATACCACAGGCCTTTTCTGGGGAGGCCTGGAGAGGCTCTGTCTCTATGGACAAGCTGATTGTTTAGCTACAGAACTCCATGACAAGGGCCATGTCACATAGATCCTAATGTTGTCCATCTGGTAGATTCCAGCTTGGGGAGCTGGTGGGAGGGAGTAAAAAGATGGCTCTGTCACAGTAAAGAAGCTTTTGTACAGGAGAGATGAGATAGCTGGGTGTGTGAGCTACCCAGTGGGGCAAGCATGTGATCTGAGCTCCTGTCCTCAGCACTGAAGGGAAAACTAAGCATGGAGGTGCAAGTCTGTAGCTCTGGTGCAGGAGAAGCAGAGACAAGAGGATCCCCAGGACTGGCCAGCCAGCTAGTCTAGTCAGTGAGTGGACTCTAGGTTCAATAAGAGTCCCTGACTCAGAAAGAGCACATGCATGCCTGTGACCTTGGCTGCACTGTGACCCTGGGATTTCAGACTTTGAGCAGCTGAGCCCTACAAGTGCTGGTGACATCCTTGCTGCCATACTGAGTTCTCTCTTTGTGTGCCCCTTCCTCACCCACACTCAAGGGCAGTTTGCATAGGTGTAAGCATTTCTCACCGAGCCGAGAAGGGTCCACAGGGCTGACAGGCTCCTGTGTCATTGTGTTCAGTTCATTGTGCCTGAAGGTTTCTGTGCAGAGGGGAGGTGGGGGGCTCTCATGGCTGAAACTGGCCCTCCTGATGTGGGCCTTTGAACACCTCGTCAGATAGAATCCTGGCACCTGCTTTAAGACATTGTCCCCTCTGTCTGTCGGCACACAGGGATGAGAAGTCTTTTAATTATGCCTTTGTCAGTGTTCGAGCAGCCCATGCTGGCTGATAAACGGAGATTACCTTGCTCTTTTGTTTAGAGAGAAAAATTAAAATATTTCTTCAGAGCTTTGCACATTTTCCTTTAATGCCTTTCCAAGGAGACAAGAGAAAAGAATTTTGCATACTGTGTGCTTTTCTCCCTCAGACTCACTGTGCAGATAATTAAGTCTCCTGCCTTTGCTTGAAAAGGTGTAGTTTCTAGCAACTTCTATCATGACCAGCCACCTCTGTAGACACGGGGGCACTTTGGCGATTCTGATGAGCATCTGACACTCATCCAAAGCCCTCTAGAGTGTAGACTTCCTTCTTTTTCCTCTCCTCCTCTTTTTCTCCCTCTTTCTCCTGCCAATGAACACAAGTGGCCATTACTTCTCCTTAATGGGAGACAAAAGCCTGTTTCTCAGCAAGGAACAGAAGACCAGTCTCATCTTTATCGGGCCTGGGTGGCCCTAGAGTGACTGTGGACCTAGTGGGAGGCCTTGCTCACCCTCCTCACTAACACTGCCATGAGCAGAGCTTTACTTTGGCTCCTGTGTGCCATCAGCACTCCCTCCTCTTGACCTGTCCATCATGCCTTGTTTTTGGCTGTCAGATAAATGTGTCTTAGAAATGGTCTCTTCTGCCCACTCTGTGAGCTGGGCTGAGAGAGAAGAGCCCTCCTGTGTCTACATAGCACAGTCTAATGTAGTTCATGTGGCCAGTAAATTGTGTGAGATATTAGATGGTCGCCTGCTGGCCCTGAGCCATCTGCTCACCCTCCTGCCATAGCAGTGACCTCTGCCACAGCTAGAGTGCCCTTCTCAAGCCTTGGGTAGATTCATCCTTGCACACATGGCAGCTGCAGGGTTTCTCATTGTGCCAACTTTGCTCTGCCATCATGCCTAAAATCAAGCTTGACTTGCTGCAGCTTCCTGCTCAATAGGAGAGTTTGGGCAGCAGAGCCCAAGTCAGGGGTGAGCCTGGCCCCTGTGAGCTCTCAGGTCCTCAACGAGACAGCATCTATGAAGTGACTTTAAACTAACACATTTGAGTTGATAGCTTCAGAGAACTGCCAGGCCTGGCTCCTGCCTGTCCTAAATATGAAGAGACGCAGGCTTGCGAGTCACCTGCCGTGCGTCAGAGGCGTGGATTACAAAGGCTAAAAAGTCCTACAAAGTTGCTAATGAGCACCAGCCCGGAGACGGCTCTCATGTGTCCTCAGAAAATGAACACGCAGTGACATGAGGGAGAATAGCAGACTTAAAATCCATTTCTCAGCACAAAGACACAGCGTGGAGCTAACCCACTTGGCTTCGGTACTCTCGTGAAATTAATATGGAAAGGGAGCATAAGGCATGACTCCAGAATGAGAGTTTGGAGCACAGACACTGGGATGAGTGTGGGATGGGGTTCCGAGGAGGCCGCAGCAGGGCAGTGGGCACTGCTGCAATGGCCCTCAGCTTGCTGACTCTCTCCACAGGGCTTCCAAGGCAAGACTGGCCCTCCAGGACCCCCGGGAGTGGTTGGCCCTCAGGTGAGAACTTTCAGCATCCTGGGGCTGGTCAATTTTTCCCAGAGTGGGAGTGGATCCCACTAATAGAGAGACTTAAGTCAGTCCCATGGCAAGTATGTGCTAATTATAGGAGATACGCCCCTTGAAGGGGTGCGCTGAGAAAAAGCAGGTGGTTCATGGAACTATGGCCTGAGTGACCCCAGGCCAGACAGGGCCACCAATGGCACAGGGGCCAGTGGTGTCTTCTTGTCCTATTGTGGACAGCAGAGGAACCTGATTCTTCTACACTGGACAGTGTCGTGGGTTCTGATCCCAACCAACACAGATCAGTGAAGGATACAGGTTCCAGCTAGGGCTGATGGCTGTAGATCCAAAGACAGTATTATACCTGTCACCTTGTCACACCTGACATAATGAGAAGTATGAGACTGACACCCGGTGTCACCACAGAACTGGAGCCCATGAGGCCTTCTCCCCCCTGTGGTAAATATGGCAGCCCTCGGCATCTTTCTGATCACATCCCAGGGCAGCCTCTAGAGAGGTGTGGGTACATGGGAGACACCAGCCATGGCTAACTGTCTACTGGTTTCATCTTTACCCTCTGGTGTTTGGGTGGCAGGAAGAGCCTTGCAGAAGAATAGAGAAGAGTGGCAGGTCCACTGTGGATGCTTTGTCACTGTAGTTTGGGCTATACCTAGGCTCAGGAAGAAGAGATTATCTCCTTGCAAGTCACTCAGAACCAACATGTCACCCAAAAACAATGCTGTCTTTCCCCATAGGGTCCCACAGGAGAAACCGGTCCAATGGGAGAGCGTGGCCACCCTGGCCCTCCAGGCCCCCCTGGTGAACAGGGCCTTCCAGGAGTTGCTGGAAAAGAAGGGACTAAGGTGAGTTTCTGGAAATTTCCATGTCAGGAGAATCTTTTTTTATTCCTAGGGAATAAGTTAAAACTTTGTGTTTTCTCTTGATCTTTTTGGACAAATGGGTAATTTCTCAAACAAATGTTTCTCTAAAACCCATATGTTCAGATCCATTTTGCTTGAACTGAGACAGGGCTGCGACCTGCTGCAGATGGAGCACAGAGGGAATGCGGGATCAAACCATCCCAGCCCCTGTAGAGAACGCCTTCCCCTGCTGCCCACTTCTCCCAGAAACAGACTAAAGGCTCTGAATCTTTAGCGGCTAATACAGACCTTGTAGAGAATGGTCCTTTGAAAACCCCTCACATGAATTCACTGAAAATAGATTCTGAAAGCGAAAAACGAATGCATCTCCAGCCTTGTACCCAGTGCCGGCTCTCGCTGTGCAAGCTCTCGCTATGTGCTTTTTTGTAGTCTGTCTGGTAGGCTGGAGTGCCCTAAATTTGTGGTTGTAATGTTTGTGTGTTAACATAAAAACATCTTCAAATTTCTATGAGAGTAACTACAAACACAAGCTTTCAGCCTATTTTTTGTCATTGTTGTTTTGAGACAGGATCTCACTGTGTAGTCCTGGCTATCCTGAAACTTGGCTATCCTGAAATGTAGACAGGTTGTCCTTGAATTCACAGAAATCCAACTACTTCTGCCTCCTGAGTGTTGGGATTAAAGGCCTGTGCCACCATGCCTGACCCACCACACTTGTTGAAGTGACCACATAACTGAAGAAAATCACACATCCTTTATGTGTGTGTTTGAGTAAATTAATACATATATCCTCAGATATATATGTATATATGTGTGTATGTAAATACACACGTATAACCCTAACACATGCTATCTACTCTAGAAAAAGAGAGTTCACTGAGTTCAGAAAGATCTGTATGTTCCCATGTGAAGCCCAGGGAAAATTCTAGAAGATATTCTAGCTTTTACACTTTTGGGAAAGGCAAGCCCAATGGTGTCTGTTTTTAGAAATGGGCATTGGACTGCCAGAAAGTTCCTTGAGTGGCATGTTTTTAACTACAAGCCACTTGTGTACCCTTAGCTAGGCACAGTCCCACTGGGGAACCCTTGTGGCCCTGCTGGACTTTGCAGGTCTGGACCTTGAGTAAGCACAGGGAGAGGAAGTCACAGTTGGAGTCACTTCCCCAGATCTACATACAAAGCCAGCCTGGAGAACATAGTACCCAGGTGTGTGTGTATGGCAGGGGTTAAGTTCAAGTCCATGGAGGAGTAGAGGAGACGTGCCAGGTCCTGGATTCCATCCCCAGCCTCCAAATAGAAATGAAACTGGAGAATTTCTTTAAAGCCAAGGGGCTAGAGGAAGCCCAAGTCAACCCACATCCCAGCGGATCTTGACAAATTCCTCACCCTGCTTCTTAGACACGAAGGATGAAGGACGTTGGTGAGAGGTCAACAGCTGGAGCTTCCAGATCCGGTTAACTCTGGCTCTCTTTCAGGGGGACCCAGGCCCTGCAGGCCTCCCTGGAAAGGATGGCCCTCCAGGATTGCGTGGATTCCCTGGGGACCGAGGACTTCCCGGCCCTGTGGTGAGTGTGGGGCTAGGTGGGTATAGTGGTTTGGTGCACAGCCCTGGGGTTTCCCTCCATGCCCTCAACTCATATTCTTACTGCTTTGCAGGGAGCTCTTGGGCTAAAAGGCAGCGAAGGCCCCCCGGGCCCTCCAGGTCCTGCGGTAAGTCAGTCTTCTCTCCCATCCTATCCTTCAGAACTGCTTTTCAGAGCTGGGAGGGCATGCCCTGGTCCCCACCAAGTGTGTCAGGAGGACAGGATGGAGCATAGGGATGGAATCCCTGAGTCAGCGGCTGGGTAGATAGAATCACAGGGGTACCTTGTATGCGGAACAGCTGAGGAGTGGCAGCTTGGAGATCTGAGAGTGACCTGTCTGGGCATGGAGGGAAGGAGGGGACTCATACTTGGTGTGTACCTATCTTGGTTCAGCATGGAGAGTAGGTCCTCTTCTTTTGAACCTCAAGGACATATCCTAGAGCAGGGTGGCCACCGGGACAGGTAGGGAAGGGTTCGATCTTTAGCCTGTAGTCCAGGAGCTATCACATGTTGTTTCATGAACTAGCCAGTCCCCCACCAATCTCAGTACCCTGGCTGTGAGAGGCTTTAGGACCCTGCATTCCCAGGCCCTTAGCTGAGGCTGCTCCTCCCCACATATGGGTAAGGGCTGTCAGCTTTGCTTCCTCTGCAATTCAAGCCAGCCTGATGGCTGAGCTCAGGTAGAAAGTCCAGATGAGTTTGAGAGGGACCTCCCCTAGCTGGATTCTAGACTGGGGAAGTCAGATGGGATGAGAAACTATTCTTCCCTTTAGATAGGGTATTTTGAGGGCTTGCAGACTGTGTTGACCTCTTGATGTGATCTTAAGCTTAGGCTGGATCCCTGTTATAATCAATATCTATCCCCAGATCAACACCTCCTTTTTAAGTCTGTGAACACTTTGTGGGCAGGCAGATCCTGCAGGAATAGGTAGATGCCAGACCTCCGGAAAATATCACCAAAGACAGACACAAAATAACGCTTTTTCTCAGACATGGGGGAGGATTGGGCCTGTGTAAGATGGAATTATGGAAGGAGAATAGCTAAGAAGAGGCCTAATGATAGCCTCTTATACTTGACCATAGTCCATGCTTGTACAAAGTCATCTCGGGAGCCCCTGAGGGCTCTGAAGTGAGCAGAAGAGTACTGTGACCCATTTGTACGTAAGGATGACTTGCTATACAGCTCAAGAGCCTCTAAAATGAGTCATTTTCTTGCTGTACTTTAGGGTTCTCCAGGAGAGAGAGGACCAGCTGGGGCTGCGGGGCCCATCGGAATTCCAGGGAGACCTGGGCCTCAGGGACCTCCGGGGCCAGCTGGAGAGAAAGGGGTTCCTGTAAGTACTGTTTGAGATTGGGTTCACCTCCCAGATTTGGTCCGTCTCTCCTGCTGTGTTATCTTCATGGACACTCCCCTGAGGTGGAAGGAGGCAAAAGCTATGGAGTCTGATTATCCTACAAGGATAGACCTCTGAGGAGACCCAGCCAGCTCAGCCTGGCCTACACCGAATGCTGATATCATGGTGGTTAGACAGTCACTGTCTCCCAGAATAGCTCCAGCAAGAGGAAAAGATGGAGAGAGGGTCGGGGGGCTCTGCAGACTCCCAAACTGACAGCGAAGGCAGGGAGAGATGCTGCCAAAACCCTGAAGCTGCCAGAGCCCTTTCTAGCTTAGGGAGGACAGGCTGATTTCAAGGTGTGAGGAGTGGGGCATAGGAAGAACAGGATGGGCTAGCCAAGCATCCATGCCACTCTCCTGTTGCACATAAAATTTCTTTATTTGTGTCATTAAAAGACACTCATAGCTGAGGTGAGAAAATGCTTGTTGCTCTCAGATGATGGGATTTTATCAAAACTGAGCATAGCAAGAACCAGTGAGACCACTGGAGAGGGGCAGTTGTGAAAAAATCAAGTTAGAGTTATGAGGGCAGAAAAGATAAGGGCTTGTATGTGCATATGCCTGTGTACATGCTTGAGTATGTGTGCATGCATAGAATGCTGTGTGAATGCTATCCATGTATGTATGTGAGTATGTGTGTCTGCATGCATTTGTGTGTGTGTGTGTGTGTGTGTGTGTGTGTGTGTGTGCACGCCCACATATCCTATGTGTGACATGCCCATAGACACGTGTCTGTGCTTTTGTGCATGTGTATGCACACATGCCATGTGTCAGTGTGTAAATACATGTTTATATGTGCACAGTCAGGGTGCTCACAAAGAATTGATGGAGTAGCAAAGTTTTGGAAAGCTGCTACTCAGGCTGTCCTGTAGCACAGTGTGGTCCCTGCTCACCAGCTCAGAGGAGCCCAAGCAAGCTCAGGGACTTAACGTTCACAAGCTCTGCTAATAAGCTTCCTGTCACTTTGGCAAATATGTGAGAGAAACCACTTAAATCAAAGGATTGTTTGGGCTCGTGGTTCCAGAGGTTTCAGTTCATGGTTGGCTCCATTGCTATGGCTCTATAGTGAGACAGAACATCATGGTGGAAGGACATGCTGGGTCATAGCTGCTCACCTTATGGCAGCCAGGAAGGAGTTGGGGAGGGGGATGCAAATCTCATTCTCCAGAACAAATGCAGTGACCTACTTTCCCAATTTTAGGTCTAGCCTCCTTGGATTTCCACAGCACTCCCAGATAGACCCAAGCCCCCACCATGGCGTGTCCAAACCACAGCACTAACTGTGCCTTAGTTTCCTCATCTCGAAGGAGTGGCCATCGAAATTGCTCCCTGCTCCACTCTGAACCATTTCAGGCTGGACTCTGTGGGGCTGGATTTCATGAGGTTTTACTCTGTGTGGTATTCTGAGTATGGCTCTGGCGTGCCAGCCATTGAGAGCCCAAACTGGGAGAAACCACCTCCGTGCCCCTTGCTGACATGTTAGGACCACCATGGTCCTAAACACTCCCTCACACCCCGGCTTCCTGCTCCAGAGCCCCTCTCTGGGGTGAGGGGCGGTGGCTTGATGTTTCTAATATGAATCTGCATTGAGTCTGAATTTCCTGTCTTCTCTAGGGCGAGAAAGGTCCACAAGGCCCAGCTGGCCGAGATGGCCTCCAAGGTCCTGTGGGGCTTCCTGGTCCAGCCGGCCCCGTCGGTCCTCCTGGAGAAGATGGAGATAAGGTATGGAGAAGTGTGAGTGTGTGGGTAGGCAGGCAGTGAGTACAAGGGCAGGGTTTAAACAGCATCGGATATGATCTAGAGGGCTCAGCTGGCAGCGCAGTGCAGTGTCCCTTCAGACCTGGTGTGAGGGGATGATTTTGAAGTAGCACACAAATAAATGGCAACAAATAAGACATATGTGGGGAGCCTGGAAAGCGCTTGACTCCTTGGCAGACTTGTCTGAGACGTGTGCAGGTCATAGCCAGAGCTGAAGAAATTGCTCTCTGCTCCCTTCTGAACCTTTCAGACTGGGACTGTGTGGGGCTGGATTTAATGAGGTTTTACTCTGTGTCTATTTTTAAGTGTCTTCCCTTGAATGATCGAAGCTCTGTTTTTATTGCTATTTCTGATGCCATTACCGAGGAGCCTGGATTTTATACTTCATTAAGGAGAGACTGTGTGGCTTAGCTCTTCAGCCCTGTTCTCCATTTGTCATAGCTCTCTGGTGATATTTCTGACTTTGTCACCTCTGCACAGAGGACGTCTTAGTCTTCTGTCTCCATGTGGGAGGCGGTCCAATAGAAACACCAGGATGGTAGACTGCCACATCACCGTGTCTACTAACACCTTTGCAATAACCACAAAGGAAACAGAGTAGTGGAGGAGGTGGTTCATTAGTAAAGTGCTTGCCTTGCAAGCATTAGGATATGAGTTTGACTTCCCAAACACAAGTTTAAAAAAGCCAGGTGTGGCGGTGTGTCTGTACTCTCAGAACCCAGGAGGTGGAGACAGGAAGATACCTGGGGCTCTGTGGCTGGCCAGCCTAGTCAATGGAGGCAAGTTCAAGGCCACTAGAAACCTGCCTCAAAAAGGAACAGATAACAAAATAGGGGACTGAAGAGACAGCTCAGTGATTAAGGCACTGGCTGCTATTGTAGAGGACCAGGGTTCAGTTCCCAGCATCCATATGGCAGCTCACACCTGCCTGTAACTCCAGTACCAAGGTACCCAATACCCACTCTGGCCTCTTCAGAGTGTCCCATGCAGTGCACAGATATACAAGCCATGTGCACACACATGAATGTGTACACACACACACACACACACACACACACACACACACACCATCTATATATACACAGACATCAAAATCAGAAAGGAAATCAAATTCACATAAGAAAATGCTTTCTGTTGGCAAATCTTGGTACCATCTGGAGAGCAACTGTTGTCAGTCTCCAAGAATGATTGCCCAAAGGACTAAGAAGGGTACATCCAGCCACCGGACTAACAACGTCCTTCTTATCCATCCCCAGGGAGAGATCGGGGAGCCAGGGCAGAAAGGAAGCAAGGGGGACAAAGGCGAGCAGGTAAGAGTGTAAGTGTGCTGGAGTGGCTGCTGAGAGCAAAATGACCCTCTGTTCACACTCCGTGATTCCAGAGAACTCCTGGGTCACACCAGTTACATTTCTTTCCCAAGAGTATCCAGTGTGCATGTGTGTTCAAGTGTGTGAGAGAATCTCTTGGTGTAAGAACATCTGTCTGCCTGGGGACCCATCAGTGAGGACCACAGAGCTCTGCAGAGGCAAAGCATCCATTTGTCCCTTAGTCTTTCATACATCCAGGGACACGGAGTTGAGGGTGCTACGGCCCTGTCACCCACACCAGCCCCCCCCCCAGTGCCATGAGTCCCCTCCAAAGTGGGGACTAGTCTGAGCCTCAGACTGGTGTCAGTGTCATTACTCCTGAGGTGATATCAGAGGCTTCAGTGCAGGCCTCTGGCTCTCTGTTCCTCCTGGCTTTTCTCTCTCTCTCCATTCCTGCACCCACAGTGATAGGCACTTGAGGACAGCATACAAGAAAGGGTCATGGTGGAGTCCTCCCTTTGAGGCCTCTGATCCTTGTTGTCTGAGGGGGTCTCTTCTGTCACAACAGGGTGTATGGTGGTTGCTGAGCGGACACAGAGTAACCTTTCCTGTTTCTGTTACCCATAGTAATGTGATCTTGGTTGAATTGAGAGTCTTACCTACTTCTCAGAGCCTAAAACCTGGCTTGTGCCATGATGTTCATAGTTAGTGTTCCTCTGATGACTGGCCCATTTGACTCTGATAAGTCACATCTTGCACAACCCAGCCACTTCTGGTGACAGAATTTACCTACTCCCAGACTCATCTGCAATGTCAAAATAATTATGTCTCTGTTTGACCCCTACAGGGTCCTCCTGGACCTACGGGTCCTCAAGGCCCCATTGGACAGCCAGGTCCCTCGGTGAGTATCTATGTTGAATGATGTAGCAAGGCCTACCTCTCAAGCCGTTGTCCATCCTCACCCATGCTCACTTCCTTCCTCCAGGGAGCAGATGGTGAGCCAGGTCCTCGTGGACAGCAAGGCCTGTTCGGGCAGAAAGGAGACGAAGGCTCAAGAGGTTTCCCAGGACCACCGGGGCCAGTGGGATTACAGGTAACCATGGAGCTTCCTAGGAGATCCCCCCCCTCAATGTGTCAGTGTCTTGCTGGGCCCATTCTTGCTGTCATTGTAAGCATGAGGAAACTGAGCCTCAGTAGTAGGGATTGGAAGATCTGCCAGTTTTCCAGTACACACATACACTTGGGTGATGCTCATACATAGTCAAAGCTGCTTCTGTGTTTACCATAGAACCCTGGGAAATGGTAACCTGTATTAAAGGGATACAAACCACCTAGAAGTGACAGCCATCTACCCAGTCCACCTCATTCAATGCCCTTACCCACACGATTCAACTGGATGTTAGGGAAGTACCAAGCTCGCTGTGTGCTGTAAAGCATACACCAGCCTTCAGTTTTATGTTATGGGGCATGTTAAATGTCATCAAATATTCTTTGAACACAAGACTTTATTTTGGAAAACACATTTTTTAGTTACTAGGTGGTATTTGGCATATGGTGGGGACTTGATTTATCCGGAAGCGTCCCTGCTGCCGCCTCATTAGGTTTATTGTTTTATGGGAAGCTGCCATAAGCGCTGGTGCTCATAAATCTTGGCATTCTCCTCTGATTATGTCCTCGGCTGTTTGAGCTCTGGAAGCAGGAAACCTCTTTCCGTGGAGGGAGACTCACAGAAACATATTTCAGGGCCTTCGGGAAACATCGTGGGAGAGGCAATCATGGCAGTGACAATCATGAGAGCCATGTGTGTCTCTCACAGAGTAGTATCTCACCAGTTTCCTGTCCACAGGGTTTGCCAGGACCTCCAGGAGAGAAGGGTGAGACAGGAGATGTGGGCCAGATGGTAAGTAGCTGGGCCATTGAGACCCAGTATGGTGCTCCCGGTTTACATTTTGGGGAAGGATGTTTACATCTTATGTTGTTCAATGGCCTCTCTTCTTTCCAGGGACCTCCTGGTCCCCCAGGCCCCCGAGGACCCTCTGGAGCTCCAGGTGCTGATGGGCCACAGGGTCCTCCCGGAGGAATTGGCAACCCTGGTGCAGTGGGAGAAAAGGTAATGTCCATCTACTTATCCCAGTGTCTGCCCTATAGCTACATGAGAAGTAGTGTGTTTGTGTGTACATGGAGTCCTGTGTGCCTGTGTGCGTATGCACTCGTGTGCCTGCGAATGTGCACACACAAGCATGTATGCCTATGTGTTTGAGACACTCCCATTACACTCATCATGGAACCTAAAAGTAGATTCATGACCCCAAGTTTGATACTCTGACAGTGTTCATTTGTAACAACTGTTTGCCAAATCCAAAGCAATAACATGCTCGTTCCGCCAAGCCCCGTTCCCTCTCTCCCCTCTAACTCAGATCTGATGAAAGTCACATCTCTCATTCCACATTGAGCTTGCTGTGAACCCCTCTTCCTAGCTCTGCTTTCTCAAAGCCAGGGCCTCATCATTCCTTCTGGTTGGTGTTAGGGCCTGGCCCTTGAGACTGACTGAGCACAGTGAGCCCAAGTGTATGGGCACGGATATGAGTGGATGTGTGCATGCATGCTTGTGAATACACATGTGTGGGCACCACAATGGTTTCAGC